CTCTGCGGCTTTCCCCCCCAAACACACACCGAGTGTTTTAATGTACGTTTAATAATATGCATGTGAAAGCAGACGCAGCGTCACCAGATCTGATCCGCTTGTGTGTTTGCAGCTCGTTGGCTCAGACCAAGCAACCAGTAAACTTCCACTGTTTGAAAGAGCGTATAATGCCGCCTCAAAAGTGGAAAAGTCCCACGGTCAAACAAGTGCTTCCGTCTTTTGTTTCAAAGCCTCAAACAAAGAGCCACGACTCTCACTCGTTTGAATAAGGTACATGAGCTTGTGTATTCCACCATGTGACTTCTCAAACTCCTGATGTCCTGTCGATCGTCCCGCGGTGGTTCTTTGTCTCTGGGTCTCTTCTCTGGTTTAATTTGGCGCCGGGTCGCCGCTCATTCTGCTTTCTGCTTTCCCACATCTGTGTTTCCTGTTTTGATTTTTTGTGTTTTTTTTGTGTTGAAGGCCAGAATTTTAAGATGGGGAACATTTTGTTTCTGATTGTATACAGTGAGTTGCTCATGTTGTCAAAGCTGTACTGTACATCCACCTGACCTTTAAACTGACTGTACCAGATGCATGTAAGGAAATAAATCCTGCTTATCATCAGGCATGTGGCGCTAAAATGTCCTCAAATTCAATCTGTGGTGACCATTTCAAGCAGTATGTCATATTCAGTCATAGAGGTCAGACATTGTGTATGATACAGTGTTCTTTTTTTACTTTTTTACACTTTTATCACAGGAAATAATTTTTTTTTTGTCATCAAATCTCATGTTTAGATCTAAACCAACACTGTGTAAGAACATACATCTTTGAAACACCTCACAAATGTACATTTTCATTTTTATTTAATTTTTTTAGAAGCTTCAGTAATTTAACAACTGGTAGCTTTTAACAAACATTACAAGCTGTAGTCGTTAAGATTGACCTTTTCTTGTTTTTCTTCCAGTCAGCCAGTGTTTTCAGAATTTAAATATTACAGAATGTGAAGTTTAAATGAGAAATGAATTGGTTTATTTCTCTTTAATCCATAAAGTAACTGTTCCACCTCCTGTGTGGGATTGTTTTACATCAGGCACTCTTCATTTAACTCTTACTCTGACTTTAGCTACAAATCACTTTTTTTTTATTAGTTCTGGTTCTTCAGAGTTTACCCTACTTCTACAGGTGAGCATTTACCTGCCTGGTTAAACTAAAGTTGAGTCAGATCTTTTGTACATCTGTTTTCAGTCTTAAAGTTCTGGCCTGTGAGGTGAATGTGAGGAGTAGGAGGAGGAAGTCTGAACCTCCTCTGCTGAATATTAACAGTCCTCAAACAGGCTGCGAGGGGCGGGCCTTGTGGTCTCCTCGTCCAATAGGCTGTTCCAATGAGCCGAGGAGACGGGAGCGTTTGTGTTTTTTCCCAGAAGCATTCCCAGTCTTGATAAGTAAACTAAATAATCTGGGGTTACGGACTGTTGGTCCAAACCATTAATTCATCATCAAATGTTTTCTACAATGAAACCAACTTCTCTATTGTTACAACCTTGTTTTTGAAAGCCGATACATGATTGATCAGCTACAAAAAATGGTTATCGCACAGTTGAAATGTCTTTAAAACCCATTTATAGGATGTGAAAGTAAAAAAAGTATTGAATTAATTGACCAAAAGAGTCAACAGTGTGAGGAAGTTTGCCCCTTAGATGTATTCTCATACACACCTGTCTTCATACAGATGTTCAAGTGTCTCTCTGCTGTGTGATTTGAATTTTTTAAGATGCCAAAAATGTCCAAATCTATTGCTTATAGTCAGATTTCTTATCTCCCAATAGATGAGATAAAAAAAGAATGTTCCAAATCAAACCAGCCAATCATGAGAGATCCTAAATATTAGGTGTATGTTTAAAAAAGAAATGCGAACAACATTTCCCAAAATGCATTGTACACCTTAACATTTATTTTTCTTTAATTGGTTTTGAGTCTTTTTTTTTTTAAGTCAGAATTTCACAATAAAGTTCTGATTTTTGTCTGAAGAATTTTGAGAATAATCAGAATACTGAGATTTAATTATTCTGACTCCCCAAGATATTGACCATGAGAAAACTCAAATTTTACTTTTTTTAAATTAGTTATTTTTTAATTACTTTTTATTTAATTTAGAGTTTTTTCTTCTAAATGAAAACATGTCTCTCCTCTAGGACTCCATGTGTTGCTCACATTTTGAAAATGTAGAGCAGCTCTCTGGGTTTGTGGATGCTTGAGAAAAGCTTCTCTGATTGGACTGTTCAGCCGCCTTCATTATTCTCAATGTTATCGATGTTGTTGCTTTTTGAAAAAGATGCTCAGTTTTTTGTATTTCGATGTAAAACAGGAAAATAAATGGAAGTATGATGCCCACATTCGGCTCAGTGACGTTCAGTAGCCCTTCATCATTTAAAATATAATGCACCTGAAATGTTTTCTGTTTTTATTTCTCTTTCTCTCTCTGGTTGCATTTGTGCAGGAAGTCATTTTACGGCCCTGACTGTATATCTATTTCATTTGCAATAAACATTTTGGTGTTTTGATCACCGTATAAGCATCACTCTGAGTCAGTGTGTTTTTTTTTTGGATGCAGCTCTTTCTAGGTATAGTATGACTAAGCAACACAAAGTAACAAGACTTGACATAAAGAGTATACCAGAACAAAACAATTCTAAAATGCATTCTTGTGATCTGACATCTCTCGGTTACATTACATTACATTTAGGGCTGTTTTCAAAGCACTAAATGGGCTGGCTCCGGCCTATATAGCCAAACTCCTCCATCGCTACACCCCAGCCAGAGCTTTAAGGTCTGCTGACCAGCTGCTGCTTAGTCCCCAAGACCAGGCTCAAAACCCGAGGGCACCGAGCCATCGCAGCAGCTCACGACTCACTTCTTCTCTCTGGCCTTCTAGTCAGAGCGGAGCACGACTCCTGACTATTCCCTTTGTTTTTGTTTTTTATATTTCTGTTGTAAATGATTGTCTTCTATTGCGATTGTAGTAATGTGTTTTTATTACATGTACAGCACTTTGGCTCGACCAAAAATCGCTTTTAAATGTGCTTTATAAATAAAACCTGATTTGATTTACTTCATCTGCATCACTTGCACATTGGTCTATTTCTCTTCTGTTTCCTCTTGCACTATTTTCATAGTTTTTTCAAATTGCTTCATCATGTTATGTCATATATATCTCAGTGTTTCTCCTATATACGAATTTTACTTTTTTTTTCCTTTATAAAATAATAATAAGTGGCGACCCTTTTTCATTTTTGATTGTTTGTTATGTGGATTTGTAGTATTTGTGTTACGGTAAGTTCAATAAAGGTGTATTTTTGCCAAATCTTGAGACATTGCCACTGTATGTACTGGCAGGGCCGATTTCTGGCATAGGCGACATATGCGGTCGCCTAGGGCGCCAGATCTGGGAGGGGAAAAAACATTTTTGACTGTTGGCGCTCATCCTAATTTTTGGCCTTGATGTAACAACATTCATAATTACGTAAATGTAACACCCTTTTCACCCCGGTTACACGTTTAATTTGCCCTGTACGATGGGAGCTGTAAGTGATGAAAGTGGGGGATGTTGGCTTATCAGGCGCCAAANCAGCTGGCCCCAGGCTCTGGAACACTGCCCCTCCATTTGAGGTCGGCCCAGACTCTAGGTGGTTTTTAAATCTACACTAAAGACACACTTCTTCTCTCTGGCCTTCTAGTCAGAGCGGAGCATGACACCTGACTATTCCCTATGTTTTTTTTTATTATATATCTGTTGTAATGTATTGTCTTTTATTGTGATTGTAGTAATGTGTTTTTATTACATGTACAGCACATTGGCTCGAGCAAAAATTGCTTTTAAATTTGATTTATAAATAAAACTTGATTTGATGTTACTTATTAGATGCTTTTATCCAAAACAACATACATACAGTACTCAATACTGTGGGCAATCCCCACATGAGCAATTTGGGGTGAAGTGTCTCAGGGACACAACGACATGCTGACTGCAGTGGGGTTTGAACCTGTGACCCCCTGATCTGAACACCAACGCACAAGACCACTGCGCCACACGCCTCATGAGCCCTTAGAAATAGTGAAAATGGGTTGACGGAACAAAACAAATAAAGCTGAGGATCCTCTTTAGGCACCTTACATTAATACAAGTTATAGGAATGTAGATAAAGCTTTAATAAGCAGAATAACATGTTCTGAAAGATATAGTGCTGTTGACCTTTTGACTTTTATTCTGAAGATAAGTTCAGAATTGTTACAACTGCAACTGGTAGCCATACTCATTAATAATGAAAATAATTATTTATTTCTGCTGCTATATCGGACATTCCTTTATTACTTTCTTTATGTCTTTGTTTAGTTCATTATTTAATAGGTTAGGGGAAAACAAGGTTTTTCTGTCTGCATTGTGTTGAGGCATTACAATATTTGAAAAGTGGAAAAAAGTACAAACACAATACAATAAAATAAGAAATTATAACAGCTTATAAATACATATCTCAAAGTCAACTGTAATCAGAATACCTTTATTAGTCCCACAGAGGGGAAATGTGCATCGTTACAGCAGGAAAGAGCCACAGACAGCTTGATGTTACATGTTAAAAAAAAAGTACTAAGTAATGAATAAAAATAAAAATATAATAAAAAAATAAGAGGAACAAAAAAATACTTTTCAAAATACTGTCATTCAAATAATGTCATTTTTCTCTGTGTTTGTACAAACAGAGAGATCGAAATAACGTTTACAGTATGAAAGACACGTAGGCTACTAGTAGCAAGAATACTCAATAAAAAAGGTTCTGGATAGATTAGATTATTCTATAAAAGACTAACATACTGCACCAACAGATAGATAGACATAAACTACAGAAGCAGAAACATATACATTGGATAGTATATAAATGACTATTATACTACATTTTCTTATAATATTACAATATTATATCGTGCATCCCTTTATCCTTAACATGGCTTTGTTATCTACCTAATAATATAGAAATGTCAAATTACATTTTGGGGAATATATTTATGTGATGTAGACAATTTATTCTGAAAAAATAATCCCCGGAAATAGTCTCGTATTTCCGGCTGCCGGCAGCTTTCTGTGGCTCGGTTAGCTTCTTCTTTCTGCCTGTTTTTAGCCTTTTTTAGTTAAAAATGGGGGAGGCAGATGTGACCCTAAATCAGACCGACGAGAAGCCACCGGACTCGGGCCTGGTCACCGGGGACGACTCGGTAGTGTGGAGCCACGAGGTGGAGGTCTGTCTGTTTCACGCGATGATCGGACACAAACCTGTCGGTAAGAGACGGTGTTAGCATGTTAGCATGTTAGCTTTAACGGTCGTAAACGGCTGTCCACTTCTACCAGTTTACCAGTGTTTCCCAAACCGGGGGTCACGGACAGACTTTGAGTCCCCGAAGTGACTCTGGATGGTCCTGGAAATGTTGTTGTTTACTAAAGTTAGATGTTTTCTAGGACATAATTTAGTTTAATCTGATTTAAACCAGATCTGAGACACCACGCAGCTCCATTTAAAAACAACAACAACAACAACGTCACACATCATAATGGAATAAAATAACATTTTAACTACGACACACTTTTCCGTTTATAGTGTGTTACTTGTTTTTATTTCTTTTTACAATAAGCACTGCAGCAGACATGGTTGGAAGACGTTTTAATATATTATATGTAAAGTTGACATATGTAAACAGTGGTGGAAGAAGTACTCCGAAGCTTTACTTGAGTAAAAGTACCACCACATTAAGGGCAAAATACTTCATTACAAGTAAAGGTCCTGCGTGCAAAATCTTACTTAAGTAAAAGTGTAAAAGTATTATAATCAAAATGTACTTAAAGTATCAAAAGTAATAATAATTGGCAACATATTTGTGACATTTCTAGATAATATTGTGGCATCAAGTTTACTTTACTGCTGAAGACAAAGTTCAGATTTACTTTTTGTAAAATATTTAATATTTGAGTTAAAGAGATAGTCCACTAGTTATATTTTTAGAGATGTATTTTGTTAAAAGTAAATGTAGTTGAGTAAAATGACATTATTTCCCTATAAGATGTAGTGGAGTAGAAGTATAAAGTATAATTAAATGGAAATACTCCTCCAATACTAGAGTACTAGTACCTCAAAATGGTACAGTTCTTGAGTATATGTATTTAGTTACAACCAACTTCTGTACGTACATTAAAAAACTCTTACCACACAGTGAAACGCTCCACTGCAAGTTCTGCACACACATCCTTTCTTAAATAAAAGTATTCACATTGTTGGATTTATATTACTGCTGCATTATTGTGTATATTGCATTTTACTGCCATATGATTAAGCCTAATTTTAACATTATTATACTCATGGCTAGTTTAATCTGAAGCAATGCATCATATTCAATAACATCATCATATATTTGGAGCTTTGTACAGAGACACATCTCTAAACACGTTCCACCATGTGACTTCTCATGTTTTATTGAGTTTCTCAGAGAAACAGCCGTGTTGGCAGCTTTGTAAGGAAGCCTTTTCCAGCTGATTCAAGAGGCTTTACTCAGACGCTTGGTTTTAACTAGGCAGGAATTGGATGAATGATAATCTGAAAAGCTGTCAAATGTAGTGGAGTAATGGTACAAAGTAGAAGGTAACGCCCCCTTAGACCCTCAGGAAATACGTTTGTGGAAGTTTTATCGATTGCATTTCTGTTTTGTAATATGCACTGCTCAAGTCACATATATAGTTTGATGACAGTTTCTAACCTTTAATAATCATAAGGCACTGTCTTCAAAGTATTGTTTTAATATCATTTGGTAGCACTTGTCGCTTAGGCTCACAAGATGCGTATAATAATGTGCTATAAGCTGGAAACATCAATGTACTGAATTGTAAATGTCTCCTCTGTGGGACGAATAAAGGTATTCTGATTCTGAGAAAGTAAATAGTGTTTTCCTTCTTGTACTGTTTATGTCGTCTCATTGCAGTCCAGATATGTTCTAACCCTTTGTTCAGCCGTATAAAGCCCTTTTTAACTGTTCTCTATATACAAAGTTTATGCAGTTTTTTTCTCTTTTGACTATTTGATTCTTTCTCCAGGAGTGAACCGTCACTTCCACATGATCTGCATCAGAGATAAGTTCAGTCAGAACATCGGGAGGCAGGTCTCCTCCTCCGTCATCTGGGATCATCTGGGAACCATGTACGACATGCAGGCTCTGGTGAGGACACACACGTACACGTACACGTACACACACACACACACACACACACACACACACACACACACACACACACACACACACACACACACACACACACACACACACACACACACTGTGTGTTTAGAATCATCCTAATACCCCGGGGAGACTCTTGCTCATTATGCTGTGGATGTGTTGGCTGGTGAGNAACCAGGTGGAGGGATTATATCTCTTCGCTGGCCTGGGAGCGCCTTGGGATCCCCCAGTCAGAGCTGGTTGATGTGGCCAGGGAAAAGAAAGTTTGGGGCTCTCTGCTGGAACTGCTACCTCCGCGACCCGACCACGGATAAGCGGGAGAAGATGCATGATAACAATTTAGTGAAATAATAAAATACATTTGTTGACATTATAGCATGTGAACACGTCACAGTAGAGGCAAAATATATATGCGGGATCTGTACTAAAATGGTCTCCTTTGTAAGACAATCTTCCAATTGTTCTGGACTTCATCTTGTCAAATTGCTTTGTGAAAACAGTGATTCAAATGAAGCTCATTTTGAGAACAAGCCCTGGTTTGTGCTGTGAGGCTTTCACACTTCCTCTACCACCCAGAGGGAGAGCAAGCCGGGCTGTGCACTTCCTGCTACAGTCATTACCGCTCAAGGGAAATCTCAGTGGTAACACTGACAATGTAAATCCTGTGTTTTTCCATCACTTGCGTGTGAGTGTGTGTCTAACATGCAACTTATCTGCTGGTGTTTATCACAGCTCATTACCACCACTACCAAAAAGTTAAATCCTCTTATGCCGATGAGCTGCATTTAGATTTACCCATGTGCTCTTGGGAGACGAACCTCATTCACACACACACACACACACACACACACACACACACACACACACACACATGTGTGTGTGTGTGTGTGTGTGTGTGTGTGTGTGAATGAGGTTCGTCTCCCAAGAGCACATGGGTAAATCTAAATGCAGCTCATCGNGCCCCCCCTCCACCCACCCCCCAATTTTGCATTTTGAAATGCTCCCGATTTCTGAGGTCTAAAGGTTGGCAAGTATGGTTGGAGCGCTGGCCAATAGAAGATTGAGTGCACAAAAAAACAATAGGAAACAATAGGAAAAAAAAGGAAAGGGATAACCCCAAAAACCCTCTTTGAAACAGTAGCCTTGTCCCTAATGCAGTAGTCAGTAAAAGTGAAAACAATGAAGCAATTTGTTGTTGTTTTCAAATCGAGCTGACTTTGTGACTGTGCACTGCGCTGGGTGTAATTTGGGGATTTGACTCTGAAAACGTCTGTAAACAAGCTTGTATAAGGATTACAGGATCAGGACTGTTTATGAATTCCCAGCCATCTGAACCGTAAATGACGCTCGTCTTAATCTCAGAAAAAACTGTTGAGTGCACATGAAGGCTATGTCTTTATGTCTTTATTAGGATCCCCATTAGCACTAGCATGAGCATTGGCTATTCCTCCTGGGGTTCTCACACACTCAAAACATACCTAAACATACAACACAATTAAAACAAAACAAAACAGCTCATAATTGCATGCAATTTACAGTGCTGTATGAAGTGAAAACTAAAATGCTCATCCAATTATCGCCATCCTAAGGCCAAACAAAAGTAAATACAAATAAGAGTACATAATAACATATGCATACATAGCCACAGGCACAGTTCAAATTCACTTTATAATACTTCAATCTTTTTTTAGCAACCTTTTGAAATGTACTTGTCAATTTTCCTGAATGACGTGGACCGGTAAAGGGTTCTAGTGTTCGAGTTCGTGGCTAGTGTATTAACTTGTTATAAGGTGATCAAATATAGAACAGAAACACCCATACATTACCTCCTTCGTCCTGAAGAAGCGGCAGTGAACTGAATAACAACATTATGCTCGTACAAAGACTCGTATAGATCTACGTTTCGTTTTTGTTGCTGTGATTGGATCAAGCGTAAGTTGAGCTTGAGTTCATTGTCCCGTGGCAAATGTGGGATATCCGGAGCTGGAAACAACCGTCAAGAAAAAGACAAAGAAAAACGGGAAACAAATGTAAAGAAGCCAAAACACAGGGGTACAAAAAGAGGCTTCTAGAAACAGATAAAGAGACTCGAGTTAATTCCGTGAGTTTTTTATGAGAACTATCCCTGATCTTCTCTGCCTCATAAAATCCTCTTCTTCTCCATTTCCTCCTCTGTACAGGCTTTAAGATACCTGTATTATACCAAGTAAAGAGGCTTTAGTTCAGGGATATTGGCTTATGTTTAATTGAAGTTGGTGCAATTAAAGCTTTCTTGGAAGTGGTGAGGGACAACGATCATGGATTGTTTTGAACAGATTTAATATATTGTGATTAAAGTTGAGAATACGGGCGAAGAAATGAAATGGATTAATCTATATCATCAAAATGTGTGTGCATGTGTGGCGTATTTGCTTCACCTTGAAGCAGCAGCAGGCTGAACAATCAGATATTTGATCTGGGCTTAGGAGGAAGATTTAATCCCCGGAACGGTGAAAAGGTTTTCTCCCAAGTTGCATTTATGCAATTTTGCCTTCTAGTGCAATTCTATAGAAATGTATCACCGCCATTCCAACACCCGGGCCAGGATTAGTGTGTGTTGGTTTCTATTTGTGAGCATTTGTGTGTGTTGCATGTGTGTGTTGCATGTGTGTCTGGGGTCTTGGAAATCAGGCAGGTGGTCTGGTTGCTGAGTAAAAGCGACAAATACCTCGGAGCGACTGTCAACGCAGATTGTGAGAGGGCGCTTTAGAAAAAAATGGAAACATGAGAGTCTTTCTTTGTGTGGAACTCCTCAGGGCAGAAGGTACACACAACCAGACACGTGTATATGCAGAGAGAGAACGCAAAGCTGTTTACATATTAAAACCTTAATGTGTGAATACATTATATAATTTCTGAAGTGAGCAGGACATAGAGGGAATGTCATACTTTTAAAATGATATCCTTGCAGAAAGTAACCAGAGTGACCAGAGAACGAAAAATATTAAGGAAACTGAGGAAAAAAATTCACTTAACTTGAGTTCTAGTGTAACAACTTATATTTTTTGGATTGATTTTACACTAAAGGAAACTAAAGTATGTTGACTGAGAAACATCCACAACTGCCTAGGACTGCTGTGGGCACAGTAACTAAAGATGTAAGCACGGGGTAATGTACAGCGTGGCGGTCATTAATGAAGGAAGAACACAGACAGGGTGATCAATGCACATTATCCCGCCTGTCACATAGCTACCTACTAATTAAAGTACGACTTTATTCACAAAAGTGATCATTTTAGCTCTCGCTTAGAAATATGTGCACATAGTCCCTTGATCAGAGCATCCCTGATAGCAACAAATAGCCTCTGAATTTCCAAATGACCAATCAGAATCAAGTATTCAAACATAGCTGTGTAATGAACTCAATTATTGTGCATGTTGGTGCTACTCTTTCACTGCCACTATTCTTACTACACCATTTTCAGGTACTAAAGATCACTTTCATACTTTGATAAGACAAACTATAAAGAGTTAACTTTGTTTTTTGCATATTTGTAAGGATTGTCAGCATGTCTATCTTGAAACAATGGAACTTTTTTTTACTTTTTTCTGTCTTCTGTCCCTGTTCAGTGCCTTCTCCACTTCCACTTCATTTAAACAAACGTCAGGACTTGGTGTTTGGTTAAAAGCGATGGACACAGTTCATAGACCTCAGGGCCATCTGTTCCCCCTGATTAAAGGGGAGTGTAAATATCTTTCTGGCCAAATATTGATATCAATTCAATGAGAGGTGCCATCTTGTCCCTTATCCAAGCCAAAATGTGTGTTTTTATGTGTGTGTGTGTGTGTGTGTGTGTGTGTGTGTGTGTGTGTGTGTGTGTGTGTGTGTGTGTGTGTGTGTGTGTGTGTGTGTGTGTGTGTGTGCTTTTTCAATATCTGTGCGTGTCTAGCCATAAGACAGACCCATGGGCCCTGCCAGTGCCGACTCATCTCATCTTCTCCACCTCTACTCCCCTGAGCCTGCGTTTTCATTATTCAGACGTGTGTGTGTGTGTGTGTGTGTGTGTGTGTTTTTGGGCGGGTAAATGTGCTTTTTCCGTCTGCCTCTGTGACTCTGTTTATGTGTTTATGCATAAAACATGTTGATGTGTGTGATTTTGCAGCTCCAAAATGACAAGGTAGCCAGACTGCTATCAGATGAAGTCGCACCCCGCCTGAGTCGGGTAAATAGGAAGCGACGGAGAAGACGAAGAGCTAAGACTAAAATCTCTGGTGGCCTCACTGCACTGGCCTCAGCTTAAGCATCTCACCAGCCAACACATCCACAGCATAATGAGCAAGAGTCTCCCCGGGGTATTAGGATGATTCTAAACACACAGTGTAACCTTTTTCTATGTGTGTATGTGTGTGTGTGTGAATGAGGTTCGTCTCCCAAGAGCACATGGGTAAATCTAAATGCAGCTCATCGGCATAAGAGGATTTAACTTTTTGGTAGTGGTGNGTTTTCTGTGAATATATCTGCCTCACCCTCTCAGACTTTGAGTTGCGCGCGCTACTAAAGAGACGTGTTACCATGGAAACCAAACAATGGTGTAGCTGTATTAAAGTCCGAGTGGAAACAGTCGTGTGTAAATCTGATTTTGTCAGAAATCGGGAGAAATGTGGGAGAAATATGACCCCGGGAGGAAACCAGGAGAGGGCAATGAAATCGGGAGTCTCCCGCGAAAATCGGGAGGGTTGACAAGTATGGCTCCAACACCTTGTAGGTGATAGGCTAAGGGGCGGGACAACTCTAAGCGGTTGACCAATCACAACAGAGCCAGCCAGATAACCAATCAGAGCAGACTGGGCTCTGGTTTCAGACAGAGGGTGAAAAGAGATGCTGCAGCACAGGCAGTATGAGACAGTGATCAAAGTATGTCCTCTTTCAAATTAAGCGATGGGGTAAAAGTTTGCATGACTTTTTCGGAGGTGGTGTGAGGACATGGAGGCTGGCCCAGTGA